CACTCGACTTCGTGGACGCCTAGCAGTTTGGTGGTTACAGTTACACGGCGTGCGGCATAGTCAGGGCAAACCAAAAATCACGTCGTGGGTGAAGTTTCGTAAGTATCTTGAACGAGAATTTTATCGTTTAATTTTGTCCGTACTTTATATCAGCATTTACAAAATCTTCGACAAGGACAGCGTAGTGTGGACGGCTATACCGAAAAATTTTAAAAACTCCTTGCTCGGGTGGATATTCGTGAAACTCCAGAACAACTGATTTCTCCTTATATTTGCGTGACTGCGTATCCTTATTCAGGATGTCTTGAATAATTTTACACCAACCTCCCTTTCAGCGTGCTTTATTGGTTGAGCAGCAGCAGACACGTTGGTCGGCTTTTACATTTACTCCCTTTCGGCAGTCATTGGAGGTAAGGGTAGTAGTTCTGCACCTGGTAGCGGCATTCGTCAGTCCGTTGCCCCTCGGTGTCTCTCTTGTGGTGAACCGGTCCGCCTATCTTTGATGAGGATCATGATATTATGGAGGAACATGTGATTAGTGAGATGGGTTGGTCCTTCGTCGTTCTCTTTTGTCTCCACATGTTGCGGGCTCTAGTGCAGAACATCGACATCATATTTTTTAGTCCACTTGCACTATCTTGAGTGTGTCGTTTGATGATTGATTCCAATGCTTGTGAGAATGTGATGGCCTGGCCGTCGAGATGTTACATTTGTCGTCTGAGCCTCATCCTCAGCCATATACATTAGCTTGGATTCAAAAGGGGAGTTGCGTTACGGTGGATCGCCTTGTGTTAGTACCCTTTTCGGTCGGGACGACGTATAAGGATGAAATATGGTGTGATATTGTTCTGATGGACGCTTGTCATCTGTTGTTAGGATGACCGTGGCATTTCGATCGTGTTGTTGTACATGACGGCCGCCTCAACACCTATGGGTTTCTTTTTCATTGGGGCCGTATCTTCTTACATCCATCCCCGCCCCGTTCGTTTTCAGTACCTCCTGCTTCGGTTCAGTTACACTCCTCTTTCTCGGTGTGGTTTCTTTCCCAGTCTGCCTTTATTCGTGAGCTGCACGATGCACCCTTGGTTTTTCTTCTTTTAGGAGGCGACTCGGCTCACGCTGGGTTACCCCCTGCTTTGATTCAGCCATTGCTTTAGGAGTTTGCTAATGTGTTTACTGCTGAGCTACCGAATGGTTTACCATCTTTACGGGATATTCAACACCATAGTGATTGGGTACCAGGCGCTTCGTTGCCCAATCGCCCTCACTATCGGAGGAGTTCGGCAGAACACGAAGAGCTTCGTCGTCAAGTTGAGGATTTATTACGGAAGGGGTCTGTTCGCAGGAGTCTTAGTCCATGTGTCGTGCTGGCTCTCCTCATTCCGAAGAAGGACAAGTTGTGGAGGATGTGCGTCGACAGTCGGCTATCAACAAAATTACGATGCATTACCGTTTTTCTATTCCCCGATTGGATGATTTGTTGGATCAATTGCATTGCGCGACTGTGTTTTCCAAGTTAGATATGCGGAGTGGATAACATTAGATTCGTATGCGGCCAGGTGACGAGTGGATGACGGCTTTTAAGAGTCGGTACGGCTTTTATCTAATGCGCCGAGTACATCTATGCGGGTAATGAATCAGGCTCTTCGTGATCTCATTGGGAAGTGTGTCGTCGTTTATTTCGACGACACTCATTTATAGCCGCTCAACAACTGTTGAGGATCATTTACTCCATGTCCCTGAGGTACTTCTCATTTTGCATGCTGAGACATTTTTTGCATCTCCGGCCAAGTGTTCTTTCCTTGTCGATACGGTGATGTTTCTGTGTTTTGTTATTTGTGCTGATGGTGTGCGTGTTGATGAGAGTAAGGTGACTGCTATTCGTGAGTGGCCGACCCCGACTACATTTACTGAGGCTCGTAGTATTCACGGTTTGGCTTCATTTACTGGTGTTTAATTGCTCATTTCAGTTCTATCACAGCACCGGTTACGGATTGTCTTACAGGCAAATCCTTTGTCTGGACCCCTCGGGCTGCAGAAGTGTTTGATCTCATCAAACAGAAGCTCACTTCAGGTCCAGGTTTGGTGCTTCTCGACTTTAGTGAGAAGCTACCGTGTCCTCGAGCCCGCTACAATACCTATGATGTGGAATTTTATGTCGTGGTGCGTGATGTTTGACATTGGCGGCACTATTTATTTCATCGAATGTTTGTGTTTTTTACTGATCATGAGGCGCTTCGACATATTTCTTCACAGGACTACATATCCGCCAGACATGCCTTTTGGACCTCATTTTTGCAACAGTTCACTTTTGTTCTCAAACATCGGTATGGTGTTTCGAATCGGGTGCCCAGCGCCAGATACTTTGAGTCGACGTTCTCTTCTTCTGTCAGATATGCGTATTCAGGTCATTGGCTTTGATTTGTTGCGGGACTTATACACTTCTGACGTTTTCTTTGGTCCGATACTTACTCGCCTAGCTTCAGGCTCGGTTGATGATTTCGTGATTCGGGAAGGTTTCATTTTCAAGGGAGCCCGACTGTGTGGTCCGGATTGCAGTCGTCTGAAATTGATTGAGGATCTTCGTGGATCGGGCCATGTGGGTCTTGA